CGTCGCGCCACTTTTGCTTCAAAATCTTCAGCTCCGAATGCAGGGGAACCGGCTTGAATCCTTCTCTATTGGTTTCTCTGTTGCAGACGCAAACCCAAGCTGAACCCTTTTAACTGCTGGTGAGTGAAAGAAAAGTGATAAAGCTTTCGCCATTGAGTCAACCCTTTTGCGGAATGCGCCATGCATTCTGCTTCCGTCCAGAATCACGGTGTCATATTGAAAACGATACGGCCTATACAATGGCTTGCAAGGACCAGCTGATTTACAGTTGACTGTTTTCAGCCTCCTAGACAAATCTGGGGGCCAATTTACCATCCCTCATTGGTGGAGAGACTGCCCTCTAGTCCCTGAAGAGGAGAAAGCTTGGTTGGTCTGGGTCGGTGCGACTCCAGGATTTGACTCCATACCGAGCTCGTGATAAGCTCACCCTTTCTGCTACCCCTCCTCCGCCCCAACTAACTATAACTGGAGAGAAACTAGAAATCTGTATATTTGTTCAACCAACTCCTTGAGGACCAAATTTGTTTCCTGGTGAATTTTGAGCAAGAAAAGGCAAAACTCAGTTGATTACCCTGTGAAAAGGTGTTTTAAAAGGGATCCACATACCTCTTTCCGGCACTCTTCACTGCGCAAAGAATCCCTCTTACAGGCTGTGCCGTTGCTTGACTGGCTGGTTGGTTGTGATTTCTCAAGGCTCGACCGCCGCGCTTCACTTGTCACAGAATGCTTACTGGGACTCTGCTGCTCTTCTTCCTCTTCCTCCTCATTCTGCTTGCTCTTCGATGGGCTTGGTTGCTGTTCATTAGCGGTTTCAGAAGTAGTGGGCTGCTCGACATCCTCTGTCTTTTCCTGTTCATTTGCAAAAGGTTCGTACAATGCTCAGGAGTAGAATGCTTCGATGAGGGGGTGGCGCGCTGTTTCCAGTCGGGAGTCGCGTTGCTTACAGTAAGCTCGAGGATGGCATCTCGGTAGGCTTCCTAAAAATAGAAAGCTTTTCACTGCGAAACTAAAAGATTTCGTCATACAGACAGAAATAAAAAGAGAGACAAAAACTCGAGCATACACAGTCTATATCTTGGAGATGGACAGAGCATCGTTGCCTCTTCCACTAGAACCTGGTGTAGGACTCGTTAAGTAAGGGATAATCCCATTTGGGAAAACCACCCACCTGTTTCGTGCGGCAAAGGCATGGTCATGAGGGTCGCAAAAATGTTATATCTCACAAAAATGCAGTCGCCAGCGTGTTCGAAAGAAGACAGCAGCCACACTCTCTCAATCCGCAAGATAAAAGGATAAAGGATAAAGTCTTCGCCGTTAATCAATCCCTTTGTGGGATGCGGCACGCATTCTACTTCCATTCAGAATCGTAGTGGCTTATTGAATGCGATGTGGCCTATACAATGACTTGCGGTGGCCAGCCGATGTACAAGTCAGTGTTTTATCCTCCCAGACGAATCTGGTACCAATTTACCGTCCCCGGAGGGTAGAAGGCTTGGTTGGCCTGGGCGGGAGTCACCGGGATTTGAACCCGGCGGATGTGAAGAATAACGTTTGAAATAAATAACTTAGCCTGGGCGGGTGTCGACCTGGGATTCGAACCCAGGACCGCGCGAGTGGTAAGCGCGCCACTTGTCACTACACCACCTCCGCCTCATCCGCAAGATATGTGGTGTAAATTAATAAATAAATAGGTGTTTCTGTATTTTTTCTTATCTTTTCATTTTTCTGCAATTTTAGTTCTGATTATGGTATCAAGGAATGTAGCGCATCTGGGAGTGCATATAAT